ATCTGTGTTGAAATATTTCGGGTGCCATATATTGTGCGGTTCCGACATTAGAGGTGTGGCTCATGGATGTCATTGTCATGTCGTGGAAAGTGGCGGAACCGAAGTCACACAGCTTTATAAACCGAGTGTTATTTTGAGAGATCAATACATTTGACGGTTTGAGATCCCGATGGATAACCGGTGGACACAAATCGTGTAAATATTTTACACTCTCTAAAAGTTCTTTAATTATTTCACATGTTATAAAATATTCAAATATTTTCATCGGTTCTCCCGTTTGTCTCTTAAATACAATGTGCTTATTATCGATAATTGTCTGTAGATTTTGTTCGTAATAATCCATTTGAATGTACAGATGATTGTCTTCACGCCATGAGTTGCGATAATTAACCACAAAATCTGAACGCAATTTAATTAAATTTTGCACTTCTTTTAATATTTCCTGTCTTTTGTGATCGCCATAAATGTCTGCAAAACATACTTCTTATTAATATTTATTAAATACAAAATATTTAAATGAAAATTATATTAAATTTAGAATTACCAAGGAACTTGACAATTTTAACCGCGTACTCTTCCCCTTCAATCATATGCCTCACGTGATATACCTCTCCGAACCCACCCCTCCCTATATGTGACAACTTTTGAAAATTATTGTCAAAAAAGTTTGATCTCTGGTTAGAAACTAAAAATGTTTAAAAACAAAATAAATGTTAAAATATAAGTTCAAACATATTGTCATTTATTACCTGTTGATTGGTTGGCAGCCATTTGCTGATAATATTTTTATCAGTATTTTTAATTTTAATATAAGGTGTAGTAATTATAATAGATTTTTAAAACATGTTAAACTTAAAATATGAAATATTATTGTAATACATTTGCGATATTATTTATTATAAAATATATTAACATTTTAAATTAAATCTTGCTTATTAATAATAAGTTTTTATTGAATGAATAAAGCACTTATTTACTAAACACTCATTTCAAAGAAATGTAAAAATAATTGTGTCGTTAAGAACACATATTTTTAACGGAGAAATATTTTATAAAACATTAATAATTGTATCGTTAAAAAGACTACACATTTAGTTAAAACTTGTAATAATCAGTTAAAGCAATGGAAAGATTTAAGTGAAAATAAAATGATAATAACTATAGTTTTATTGTCTCACAAATTACTTACAATTAAAACAAACACTCATTAAATGTGTGATAAAACTCACTAATAAAATGTCAAATGGTATACATTTTTAAAAAACCTTTACTTATTATAGATATAAAACATAGATTATTAATCATGAGATGCCATGAGATCTCTGAAGGCGGCAAAAATCTTAGTGTTGGGCAAAAACAGTTGATTTGTTTGGCCAGAGCTCTGTTGAGGAGGACTAAGATCTTGGTGTTGGACGAAGCGATCGCTGGTATTACTTGTTTTGGTCATTGAATTAATGTCTAACTTAATGTGTGTTTAAGCGGTTGATATGGCAACGGATGACTTAATCCAAGAGACAATTAGAGAGGAGTTTTGTTTGTCAACTATTGTTACGATCGCTCATCGATTGAATACAATCATAGATTACGACAAAGTGTTGATAATGGATAAGGGAATGGT